ACCATATAATAAATTAAACCCTATTTATTTATAGGGCTATTGTTCAGCAAAATGAGAGGAGAATGCTATTTTAAATGGGTTTGCAATGGATATTAAGCTTTTGGACGCTCAATATTTAACTTTCTTTACTATTAAAGGAGGGAATAATAATAAATGAAAATGAATTGCTTTCTCACTGATAAATTATAATCTCTTTCATTATCAATTATTACCTGAGATTAAAATTAACCTAATTTTGACTTTTTCTACCTCCCCAAGTTCATTTTGATGGAAAAGCTAATGATTAGCTCAATACACAAAATGTAAGAAAAAGGAGAAAAATAAGGGACTGCATAATTCACAACTTCTCTAATATTTGTACTTCCCAGAACTTTAGCCCTTACAGCACACAAGCCACACTAATCAACTGAGTGTGAGAGGAGCCCATTAGCAGGACTCTTGAGGGATTCAGCACTTTCTATTTCCAGAGTCTGGGACAAGTCAAGTGAACACAGAAGGACTCTCCTTACCACCAACAGTGCTATAAAAATGCTCCCAAGCTCTCCACCTAACATTTTAATTACCCCACCCTATCAACTCCCAGGAGCAGCAGAGCTTCAGATTATGAGTTCTCTTGGATCTTTGGGCTCCCAGTTTTCACGTCATTGCTTTCCTCAGCGTGGATGCCTCTGTACACCTGAGGAAAACCTTCACTATTACTCTCTTTCCTGTGCTCTTCCAGCCCAAAGGCCACCCTGAACTACTTGTGCTTTTGTACCCCACCAGTACCAACCGCCCAGATGCTCTGCTCTCCAAGTCCTACACCAACTTCAACCCTGCATGAGCAAAGGATGTTCAGGTGTCAGTGGTCATAACTTCCTACTGTCCTGGTTAGACTCTAGGTTGGCAATGTGAGAGCACTTCTGGGTCACCAAGTGAGGGTATTTATGTGCAAGAGATGGGAGAAAGACGAGCAAATACCGAGTCATGACAGCTCTTTAAAATGTAGTCAGGTTCTCTGATTTACGAAGGGCATTTGGGGGGATTAAGACAGGTACAAAAAGAAAGAGTGTGCTGCTTGAGTGCTCTCTACCTACTGATGCGTCTCCAGTTCCTTTTTCCTCATTCTTCCTCCTGGGAAATGCTCTCCTTCAAAGGTACTTTTGCCCTCCCTCAGCCTATCCCAGAATCTTTCACTGTGCCCACTCACTAAGATATGTTTAGCTACCTAGGATAATGATAATTTCTTAAAATAAACCAAAACTGTTCACTTTACTTGGTTATATGAACATTAGAATATAACACCAGTTAATGGGAAAAAAAAAATCTTTACACATGAGTCAACCAACTCTAGTACCAGTCTCCGTGTTACCACTTAAATCGTCCCTAAGCCTGGACACTTCGATCTTTGGGATACTGTCTTCTCAGCTATAATACTGAATATTTGTCTTACCTAGCTCCAACAGTTAACCTGATACAGGATTTTTTAAGTCTTTCTAAACAGGGTAATAATTTTAAAAGGTGGGTAGCTACCTGTAAGTCCTAAATATATAATATATGAGACTCATTCAAACACAGCAGTTCAAAGTCACTTCAAACTTCACCACAATTACAAAACCTAGCTCACAGGAGAATGAAGGTGAACCTCAATCTTGGGCCTATTCCATCTTCAAGTTCCAGGTTACAATTGAAAACAGCCCAGTTGTCTTCCAGCCTGTGAGTGTCAAAGCATTCCTTTCTAGTAAGGAGTGCCACTGTAGCTTAGCTCAGGAATGAACAGGAGAGGAGTCACTTTGATAAATGTGACCAACACAGCAACTTACTAGTACAGTACAACTCTTCTAGTTAGCCAGGCATGGTGGCACACACCTTTGATCCCAGCACTTGGGAGGCAGAGGCAGGCAAATCTCTGTAAGTTCAAGGCCAGCCCAGTCTCCATAGTGAGTTCCAGGCCAGCTGGGGCTACAGGGAGATCCTGTCTCACAAAGACCAAAAACAAAAAACAACTTTTCTAGTTAAGAAACCTGAGGATCCTGCCACCAAGGCCAGACTGAAGATAAAGAAACTGTGTGCTTTTCAGACGAGTAAAATTTAATATAGTAAATATATATACATATATATATACACTATATCAGATACACATATACATACCCACTAAGCTGCTAAATCTCTAGAGAAAGGAACTAATATATATTAAAGGCTATGTGTCAGAAACCATAAGGAAACAGATTTCATTTACTCCCACAGATACCCTACAATGTAGTTATCATTATTCTGATGTTTATAGATGACAACAACTGAAACTCAAGGTTACAAAGCAAATAAGTAGTCAAGCCGGGATCTGAACCTAGTTTTACCTGACTCCAAAGCCCATATATAATGCCCCTGCCTTTTCTTATGGCAAGCTTCATTTCACCTCAATCCATGACATAGTATTTAACTGTGTATCCTAGCTATATTTCTACAACCTCACAAAGGGACAGAAAAAATTTTAAGGCTTTCTCCTTTGTATTTTCTTTTCCTACATTTATTTTCCATTCTTGCATAAACCATTCTTTTTTAGGTAAAAATAACTGAGCTCAACATATGAGACTGCCATACATTTCAGCAATCAATAAACCCACCAGATCAAAGTTCTGTGTTTTCCCTTTAACACTTTAATAGTCACAGTTTTTGAGTATGGCATTATTTTCTAAGTTGGTGCCATTTAGTGTCAGTGCCTGGTGCCATGCCTTATACATGGGAAGCAGAGTAACACTAACCATCAAGTTACTGATGGAGAAAAGTTGTCTTTATCTCTGTAGTTAACTTGCTAAATCTAAACCAAGAGACTTTATAAGAAGAATCCACTCTACGAGTGAATTCTTTCACATTAAAGGCAGTTTTCTGAAAATTTTTAAAGGGATTAAGGGGGAAAAAGTAAACTTAAATATAACAACCTAATGTTTGAGTCCCTAAGAGACTGTCAGACTATAAGTTTAAGAGCCTGAAAGATACAGTTTGAAACATATTGTCATTTGGAGTAACTTTTGCAAGTGCTTCTTGAGAATCAAAAAACTCAATCAAACATGGACAACTCTCTCACTGAGAACAGAGGGTAAGGATGACATTTTCTGTACATTAAAATTTTCTTCCATCTGTATGTTATTTTTATAATTCCATGTGTTATTTTTATGATTGTGGTAACTGATCAAACTCAGGATAAGGTGTGTATTCTTAACTTTTTTTTTTTACAGTATGGATTTACTACTGTCCTTCTTAATATAACCCATAGGAATTAAGTATTCATTAATTCAAGCATGTGCTTTCCAGAACTTGTTACATAACACCAGCACATTAAAGCTAGTTTTCTTCCCAGTCACAGACTACTTCTCTTATTTTGGGTGGACATGCTTCTTTTCAAGTAGGCATAATTTCTCATCAAATCTCTACAGAATGTTGTTTTAAGTTTTCTTGTTAGCAAACACAAGAATGACACCTGCCCCTATATAGCTCCAATGTATGTCCTTCAATTTTATGTTATCTTTTAAATGGGATTAAAGTACTTCAATCTCAGTGAATGCAACATTTTCTGTGGTAGTAAGTTCCCCACCAAAGAAGGATTCAAAGCAGAGATGTCCTTTACGAGGGATTCTTGGGTGGGGTGAGAGGCTGTGCATACTAACTTCTATGGCCCCCTTCCTACTCTATGATTTTAAAACAATTTTGGATCAATATACCTTGGTGACACAATGGATCACATGCTGGCCTGATGAGTCCTTTTCCCATCTCACTGTGCAGATTACCCCAGCCAAGGCGCCCTTCTGATTCAGCTTAACTTGGTGAGTTAGCTAATTACTTCTGATGAGGACCAAATTACCATAATATTAACAGTTCCTTGCTACTTGAAATGACTGAAATGTGCTGAAATAATGCAATAGGCAGAATGTAACCATACGACTTACATATGGATCTGTTGCAGCCTATAAAACACTGCCTCCATGAGGGACAGCCAAAATGAGGAGTTATGTGGGAGTAATAAAAATGTGATAACTAGGCCTTCAACCTCAAGCACAACCCTGCTGCGCACGCACATGCAGATCCACAAATCACACCCACAGGAAAGCCTGCTGCTCATATAAAGCAAAGAAACCCAAGTCAAGTCCAGCCCGGTCGCAATTCAGCCACACAAGCCAGGGAACTGTCCTTTCAGCACCACAGCAAGAACACTTAGCACAAGCCTGAAGAGGCGGCAAAGCAAGGCTAGAACACGAGAAAAAATAGCTAAGGGTCTTCAAGGAAGCAACAAACAACTGTATGGCTGCTTCTTCTTAAATACAATATATTACAATTTGTTATCCTTTATTAATTTTATTTTTAAAACGTTCCAAGTATTTTAGTAAAAGTTGACAAAACTCCCAATGAAAACCAAAGGCGTCTCTCAAATTCACCCCAAGAAATTAGTAACAGACCCTCACCACCATAAATTGCTTTATAATATCCACCACCACCTCACTAAGAAACACCTCACATCCACACATATTCTCAATCAGACGTTCTGAGAACCCAGAACATGCTTGCAGCCCTCCCAGGACAGAGAATGTTCACCAAACACCGAAACATCACTACCCCACCCTCAAAGCAATCAAATCCTCTTTCAGGGAGAACTGAAGGCCTTGTGGATCATGAGTTCCAAAGGAAAAATGCTGCAATATTTCAAGAACCGAGTTACAGGCAGCGTGCTACAAAGCTCCCAGCATTTTAAGTCTGAATCCCCTTATTCCTGACGTCCTAGTACTGGGTAGTAATTTTCTCCAGCCATTTGCATTACACATCAAAAACAGTTTTTTGAGGAAAGAAAAGGGCCCCCTCCCCCATATCTCCTAATGCACATGGAGAAAAGAGAAGACAGCGGAGACAGCGAAAAACCTACCACACCCGAAATCTCCTCGGAAAGCTAAAACATCTCCTGGTCCTAAAACACGGGTTCAAACTTGAGCAAACAGTTTTTAGAAGGACTCTCCCCTTCCCTCAATCCCTACCGTCCGATGCTCACTGGGCATTAGAAGCAGTTTCCTTGCTGCAGCAGAGCTTGTTTCATGCTAATTATTTCTCCCTCCCCCTAAATTTAGCCAGATGCAATGCAAAGTTTCTTCTACTCCCCCCCACACACTCTAACAGATGACACTGATATGAACACTGTACCTCCAGATACAGCATGTATCCCCCCCCCCCATGCTTCAAAAACTGCAGTGTAAGTGAGGAAGAGGGCATAGGGTGGAGTAGTTGGAAAGAATGCAGTTTGGAGAATCCTATTTATTAGGATGAAAAATGATTCCCACTCCATGCCAGTTCGAAGCCAGGGACACTGAAGGGGTCTGACAGCCCCCTACTAACGCCAGGAAAGTTAACTGCCAAGTCTCCACCGGTGGTTGCTGCGGGCAATGGAAAGGATGGAGCTGGGCTCCCAGGAGAACCTGCAGAGGCTTTGTGGTCCCCAAGGTACCAAGAGTGGAGTAGAGAGGAAGGGTCCAAGCTGCGGAGCTTGGCAAACAGTCCTGTATCCCAACGCTAACAAGAAGCCCAGGGTGCTGCTGCCGGTGGAAAGGTGGGGGAGGGATGGGAGCCGGGAGAGGAACAAGCTCTGCATAGGGTGGCGTAGGGGTGGGGGTGGGGGAAGGGGATATTCTGAAAGTGTTATACTCTCTAATGCACGAATCCTAGCCAGCCAGGGAAGGTCGCGGGGAGCCCTGACATAGTCCCAGAGCACCCCGATGGGAGGGAACCGGTACATCCCAGTACAGGAGTAAAGGACAGGCGGTGTCCTGGCTGCCCACGAACCCAGAAGTACCCTGGCTTCTGCAACTGGCAGCAGTGTGGAGCCGGCAGAGGGGGAAGGATGCAGAAGCCTGGGGGAGGGGGCGAGCCGAAGAACTGGAGGAAGGAGCCGCGAGGGCCAGGCCAGCCGGCAGGCTCTGGGGGCTGGGTGCCGGCTGCGGCGCTCAGGGGGCGCCCGGGCAAGCCCGCGTCCCCAGCGCGGCCAGGAGAGCTGGGTGGCCAGGGTCGGGGCTGCTGGTCCCCGTCCTCCTCCGGGACCCGGGGAAAGCTCCTCGGACGGAAGCCAGACTTCCAACACCTGTCCGAAGGCAGAAATCCCGCTCCACGGACCCGGAGCCCAGCGGCCCGCGAGCCGCGCCGCGCACTCTGCGGCAAAGCCCCCGGCTGGAAAGTCCCGGGGCGACAGGCGAGCCGGGCGGGCGGCGGCGCGGGCCGGCGGCTCCGGG